CCACATTGATTCTATTATAACCAATAAAAAGTTAAGACATCAAAAAAAAAAAAAAAGGAAATATGGTGAGAGCAAGATGCTCTTGTAGTCTCCAAAAGCCAGAAACCATCATGTCTAGTGTGAGCCTATGCCCAAGATGTCTTTCACAGTATCTCCTGCCTCAAAACGACAATTTAATTTAATTGAAAAGTTCTTATATTTCTAAATAGAGGTCTTTTTCGAGTCTATTTTAAATTATTAGTTTAGGCATAGATAATTAATAATATTCATCTGTAAGACAATCACTGATATCACATTGAGGCCATACTCTTAAATGAAATAAATAGGACACACATGTGTAAATCCCGAATAGTTTCTCGGGTGTGAGAAACTGAAAGTGTAAATAAGGATCAAAATGTATAATAGATAATGTAAAACAGAAAGAAAAGCTCCAAAGGGGAAAGGGAAGTGAAAAGGAAAGGAAAGGAAAGGAAGGGAAAGGAATAAATATGAGATGAGAGAAAAATGGAAACAAAGTCTTTGTAAATAGGGAAGGATGGAGGGGTTGAAGAGAGGGCAGGGGAAGGGGGAAAAATTAAGAACCAAGATACATCATATAAAGTTATAAATTCCCAATGATGAATGTCATCATATTGTATATCTAAAATGTACCTATAAACTTAATGAAAAAGAAGCCATTCATTCATATAATAGTAAATATCCTTTTGTTTTACATTCGGAGAAACAACCAAATTCATATACACTAGCCAATTATTTGCTAAATAAGCTTTCTGTTACGATAACATGTAAGGAACACATTCATATGGCTCAAGGGAGAACATTATGAACTTTTGGTTAGGATTGAAATTGCTATGATAGTTCTAATGAGTACGATAAAATGATCTGAGCAAAACTTGGGAGATGCTTCATAGCTTGTTTCTCTCTTGGAGATTCACAGTGCATATGAACATATTATTATGAGATTATTTAATGATATCTATAGTAACAAAACCTTCTCTTTCATGGTGGAGATCAAAATCAGGGCCTCATGAATGCCAAGCAACTGCTCTGTCACTGAGCTACACCCCAGTCCAATAACAAAACTTACGTAGCCCTGGGTTTCTCACTTAGACAGCCACAGCTCTTTCTTCAAGTAGAAGATAGTGCTATTCTGGCAAATACTGTTGATTGCCCACACAGCAACCATTCCCTTCTCCCTCATGGCAAGGCCATGATTTCACTGGCATGGGTGTATCCCCAGTCACAGGGAATGAACCTTGAGCTTTACATGCCAACCAGGGCATCCTAGTGGCAGGCCTGCAGTGCAGAATCTGGTCAATGCTACATATGGGAAGGCTTCTAGGAGGCTGTCCTTGATTGAAGAATGGCTGTAGAGAAGGTCTTCTCATGCATTGATGCTTTATCACTTGTGGCTAAACACCATTCCTATTGACGAACATTCTCTCAGAAAGCTCTGTGATAGAATAAAAGCCTGCCTTCCGGGGCTTCTTGTGATAGTGAGGGCTCAATATATGCTTGTTGGGAAAGCCAGCATGAGAGTCATTCAGGGCTGGGATCAGTTTTAGCTTAGCTAGGAGACTTGCCCCAAGCAAGCTGAGCCACAGATTCTGCTCATGGCAAATTGGCCCTTGGTAAGGGGCAAGGCGGACCTAGTAGTCTGAGGTATGATAGTTATGAAGTATACTAGTTAGGACAGGGTAGATTATGCAAAAGAAGAAATAAACATGAAATCTCAGAAGCTTCAACAACAATGGAGTGTACATCACTCTAGCTTCATGTAGGTTGGTGAGAGCTCTGCTCAGTCACCCTTTACCAGGCACCCAGGCTGAGGAGAATCCCCATCTAGATCACTACTGGGTGTTGTGCAAGAGAAAAGAAAGTTCTGAGGATTTTTACACTGACAATCAAAGACTTGGCCAGAAATAGCTTATTTAACAGAAGGGGTGAGAAGATCCCTCAAACACAAGTTGGCCAAAGAATGAAACACCATCGCTATCACAATTGGTGGCAAGCTAGAGAAGGGTGGAGAGTGCTGGTAAGAGCTAGATAACGGATTTAGGTCTCCTTTAGGTAGACTTTCTCACAACATCAATCCCAGCAGGGAAACTAGAGGGCGAATCATATACTCGCTCCCATTCTGTTTGCCAAGTATATTCCTGTCGCTGAGTTTAGGCAGATAAGCCTTCCATATGGCCTAACTTCAGATGGGTTTGGTGGGTCAGTTGGAATGGGGAAGAGACGATCTATAAGTCAGAATAGCAGGAAGGAGCATTTAACCTGTGTTTGAAGGCAAGCCAACGTTCACCCCAGTGAGACAGTTCAAAAGTCAAACTTGAAGGCAGTAGAGAGGCTGGAAATGAAAGACAATGGCTGTAAGCCCAGCAGGGATGGGGGTAAGATGAAATGTTATGTGAGAATTGCACCCCTGCCAGTGGCTTGGGAATGATGCAGTGAACCATGGGACAGGAGTCAATATTTATCTTCTTTTGTGCTTAGTGTAAGGACAGGGTGGCAATTTCAAGGATTCAAGCAAAATTAGGTAAACATGTTTGTGTTTAGGGGAGAAGGCTGTGATTTGGTGAGGCCCTGAGGGCTTAGGGTATAGTGACAGACTACTTCTAGACCCACAGTGGGAAGGGCTGGGGCTGGTATGAACTAGACAGACACTGCCTGAGTCAGCCTGGGTCAGCTCCAGGATGGGATAGAGCTGAGTCTGCAAGAAAACTTTCGGTGCCTGAAGCTTCAGAGTTGAGAAAAGCAGGGCTAGCCACGTTCCAGCATTCATTTCCACAGGAGACTTCTGGGCTCACCTCCAATACCATCGACCCTGGACTACTCACTGCCCTGTGAGTAGCAGCCCTCAGCTGCCCTGTCACCCACCTGGTGCCTGCTGTAAGGCTTCTGTGGGTGTTAGTTCTCTGTTCGTGTCTTTCCCATCCTAAGTCTGATGCTTGCCCCTTTACACTTTGACAGAGTGTCTTATTTCCTTGTCACTGGGACAAACACCAGGCTCTTAAAGGGAGAGAGGTTTAGTCTGCCCCATGTTTCAGAAGTTCCAGTCCATGTTCGGCAGGCTCAAACACAGACGCTGCATGGTGGAAAGGTATTATGGCTTGTGTCTAGGTGTTCCCCCAAAGCCTCATACGGTCATAAGCGGAGCCTTTCGGAGGTGCCTGGATCCAGAGTGACACTGGGACTGATTCATGGTGTAATGGTAGGATTAGGGTTTGAGTGCAACCTACCCTAAGGG